AGACCGTGTGAATAGACCTTCTGTAAATCTTCAAATTGCCACTCCCTAGACCTGAGGTTTCCTACCCTGGAATTTCCTTGTAAGACCTCTTCAGCCTTCAAGATGTAGGCTCCTAGAGCTCACCTCTTAAAGGTCTACTTAGTCATTATCTCCTTCAGAACGAAAACTAAAGCCTATTCAGTGTAAGCGAGCCTCGCTTTTTGTCGTGAACTGCTGCGAAGGTCAGGAAAGTGTCTTTAACTGCAGCCCAGTGCCAGACACATCATGACATGCAGGCAAATACATGTTGAACCAAACAACTTCTTTATGACATTTCAGCAGCGTGGAGTTTGAGCAGAGTGCGTTAAAAGAGTTTCAGCTTCCTCATCTGGAAAACAGAGTTCAGGAGACCAGCCCAGAGGTGATGAGCACTTGAGTCTTTGTCTAATGCTCCTTGCACAAAACTCAGGGTCGAGCTCAGTGCTTAGCATTTCAGATGCTCAAGGTCCATTTTTAGAATCGTTACCAGAATCGTAGCTTTCCCATTAACTGCTCCACTATTTCAGGGTTGGTGGGGGGGCTCGAGGGGGTCGGTTTGTTCTTGGTCAGACCCTCTTCTGGGGAAATGCCAACTTCAAACATGAGAGTTATTAAAAAAAAATCTTGGGCCAAGAGGAGAAAGATCCACCCAGAGTGAAGTATTATGCCAAGGTTCTGTCTATGATTGTCCTAATATTGATGCACTGCCTCACCCTCACTTAAGGAACTGCATCTTCTACTTAGACACTATGCATCTCTCTAAGGGGAGAGGCGTTTTCCCCTCCCCCTGCCCTCCCTGAGTTCTCACAGGAGGGAGGAATTATCAGCTCCATGGGCTAACTTTAACCTTTGGAGGACACAGTGTATTCATGAACACTGCATACTTGTATCCAGGAGAAACAGTAAAAATCAACCCATGAAGATCTAGTAGCTGCCCCCTCCACTCCCTGCCCCCTCACAGTTCTGTGAGTGATGGCAACACTGAAGCCTAATCCACCCTCCCACTTTTCTCTCTATAAAACAGGGCAGATAACTTGGAACTCACCCTCCTCTGGGGCTTCAGCAACTATAATGAAACAGAGGAAAGAGCACTGGACTGGGAGTCAAGAGAGCCAAGCTCTGGCCCTTACTGCATCTAGCTGCATAGATCTTGGGCAAATCATTTCAGCCAGTTCCTTCACCCCAGAATGAGAAGTCTCAATTAAGAAATCGCTGAATTGGGTCTTCACATTCAGACTGATATTGACTTTCCGTGAGTCACAGAGCACACTTCTTCAGCCCAGGGATAGCAGAGAGGAGAGGAGACTTTTCTGTGCACAAGCAAGAAAGGGAGTTTGGGCCCGTGCTGCCCGTGGTGCCGGTGCCCCTGTCCCCCCAGCAGGAACCCCAAAGATGGTGGGCATGTCTGATTGGAGACAAGAACCCTAGGGAAGTAGAGACATATGGGATTACTTGAATAATCTTGCACAAAGAGACTTTTTTCCCTAATATAACAAAATAGAGCCTATTACCATCCATTCTTTTCCGAGCTGCTCAGCTGCCCGGGGAGGCCAGCCCTCTGACACACAAGTGGGCTGATCTGTAATATTCTCCCAGTCAGGGATTGGCAGGAAGAAACTGGAGGGAGGCTCCCTGGCCCAGCTCCTGGGCAGGCTTTCCACTCCTGCTTGCAGGTAATGGACTGTTCCTGGGATTCACTTGATGATCAGGCCAAGTTCTGGGCAGGTCACCTCTAGCCTCCAAAATCTCTAGCTAGAGTCACCATGCCCCGGGAACCCATCATGTCCCCTCCACGTTTTGCAGTGGTAGGAAACAACCACAGGGTTTTCAGTCAAAAGATCTACATTGTCTCTGCGGGTCGGGGATAGAGACACGTCATGTCTCGGAACTGATTGATGTAAAGAAGGGTGGGGTGGACTCCAAAGGGAGAACTTTAGGCCAGGTCACACCGTGCTGTGGGGTGGGGGAGTGGGGGTGGGCTCCTCTACAAATCTTCTGCTACTCAAACACTGTCTGGGGGGAAGCTTTTGGTCATCACACACAATGCATCCCTGTTCATCAGGGATCTTGGAAGGGACAACTGCATAAACCCAGTCGCTTTGCAGCCAGAGGGGGTCTCCCCACTGTCCCCAGGGGCAGCAGGAGGAAACTCTGCATTCAGTAGCGTCAGTTCCACCCCAGCCCTTGCCCCAACCCTGCCACCACAGCTGCCACTGTAAAGCAACGCCCACCCCCACCCCACCTGCACCCGTCAGTCATTGGACCTGTTCCTGATCTTCGTAGGGTTCCCTCTGTGCAGTCCTTAACTGTTGTGGTCCGGGGTGCCCCTCCCAGGGAGCCCTGCTCAGGCCTGGTGCTGTTCCCCATAGAAAGGGAACCTCAAAGAGTCCACTCCACCCCCAACAGTTCACTTGGGATGTGCATCACGGCAAGAATACCCACATGACCCGCGCTCCCCTCCGCGGCCCCCCCCCCCACCAGCTCAGGTGGGTACCTCCAGCATCCTCCCACACACACACCTCCCATTCCCACCCCTGGCTCACTTTTCCATTTCCCCAGAAAAAATGCCAATGCTGGGTTATGTCCGTGTACTACGGCGGTGACTGGACTTTGCCCAGTTGTTGTGAAGATTAAAGGGAGCTCCATGGGGTCAGGCATCACATATTGCTTCTGGTGGCTCCAGGGAGCTTTTTAATTATTGATTCACCCACCCCCCTCCCAGAAAACACCCACATTTCCCCTCCTCAGGTAAAGACCGGATCTTCCTAAGACGGCTCATTCAGGAGGCGTTCAGGTTTCTATGTAGAAAGGCTCAGCCCTGAAGCTTTACCTCAGGTTCCTGTCTGATCATTTTGATCAAAGTAATAAGGACCGTGTCCAGAGCAAATGGGTCCTCTTTTTGTCCCGGGGAGCCACTCACTCCACTCCTTGCAGCAAGATTGTCTTGTCACTAGTACATACTCCCTCACCCCAGCCCACCCTGTCCTTGTTCCCCGAGCCCAGCCTGAAATTTATTGGAGGGAAAAAAAAAAGAGCCACCAATTTCTGATCGGATTTCTAAGCTCTCCATAGGAATTCTGACTGTCCTTCCTCCTTCATCCAACCAAAATGACATCTTTTCCCAGGAAGAACACAGGGATGCAAGAGCTGGTTTCTCTTTCTCCAGTTTATGACTTCTGCTGACCTGCCATACCTCCGTGCACCCATGTGCCTGCCTCTGAAATAACCCTGTCTCCGCGAGCAGGGCTCAAGTCTCTATTCACAGCATTTCCTGCACCTCTCTAATTCCCTCTTCCTAAGGCAGTTTATTTGACAGCTAAAATGACAAGCTCTACAGTGCGGTTAGCCTTCTGCTTCCTCGCCGTGCGTAGACAAAACACAAGAAGGAACCAGCCTCAGAGGAGAGTGACAGGGTTGGGACAATACTAAGGAGCCACTGCAAACCACGCAGCTGCCCCTCATAGAAGAACTGTTTCTCCTTCTTGGCTTCTTTTAATTCTCCTGCATACCAGACACTTCAAACTGGAAATGTCTCCAGTCACACAGCCAAAACATCTGATTTACCCACGTACTTTAAAACCACAAACAAGTCGCCACTATCACTTAGCCTGTGCTGTAATTACAAGTGTGTAAAATCTTGAGTTCAAAAGAACGATCAGATTCTTTTGGTGCTTTCATAGTACATTTGCTCGGGGGAAAAAAAAGTTTTGGTGATTCATCTCAAAATCTACATTATCACTAACTTCTGAGTAAGGCAAACAGATTTTTTTTTCCTGCCTAGAGTCAGTATCCGTAACAAAAACAATGAAGTCACAAGCAGCTTTTTAAATCAAGTCTGGTATATTGTGTTATGATCAGGAGCCCTTTCTTAGCAGAGTAATTCTAAGTCCCAGATTTTCTACTATTGTCCGGATTTGAAATACCTTGACCCACTGCAACTCTGTTTATAGAAAAAGTAGCCCATTTTTTCAGTTCCAAGAAGATGTTAGCATATAGTTTAAAGATTGAGTGACACAATCAACTTTTATTAAAAATAAACATCGCTGATCCAATTTGTCTTTATTGAATTGCATTTTTCCCCCTAAAGCCTATTTTCTTTGATTTGTGCTATCTCTAGGTAAGAGTATCACCAAGCCCAGTTCAAGAGCTTCTCACTTTGCTCTTGTAAAACATTCCTTTATACATTTTTTGAGTACCCCCAACCCCAAACGGATTTTGAAATACACAGTCTCATTTGAAGGGGCACAGATGCAATAAAAATTATTCCTCATCTCCAACTCCAGTTTCCTATAAAGGTAAATTTAAATCTTCAACTCCTGGTTACCTGGGAAAAGCTTGGCTGGAATTTTCCCCTATATTTTTAGTTTTTTTAATTAATCTTTGCTTATAGAAAATGCTTCTGTGCTATATAAGAGGAAGGACAGTCCTTCAATATTTGCAACAAAAGACCATCACTGTGCTCTCGGAATTAATACTGGAGGCTGAAGTTTGCAAGTAAATTCAGTGCTGTCCTTTAGATATTTTGTCCCATTAAAACATGTTAAAACATGTACCAGCAAACAGCACTGGCAGCCCCAGCAGTGCTCACCCTTAGGATGGGGACAAACAGCTCTCTTCTCTTTTGCCCCGTGTTGCTTTTTTCAGTTATTTTTTTTAATCTCCCTTACAATGAAAACAAAGTCTGGAAAAAAATGATTTATTTCTCCCTTCTAGCCTCAGGTCAATGAAATATTTGAAGCAACTGGTCTCGCCCATCACAAAATTTATGTCCAAGTTTAAAAAAAAAACAAGCAATAACAACAACCAAAACCCCCATCAAGCAATAGTTAATAGAATAGAATGCATGCTATGAAAAGTTAGCCCAAACCAACTAATAATCCCTTCCCAAAGAATCTATTTCAAAGACTTTTTCTCTTCACGAGTTGCGTGAAATTTCTCTCTCATCTGATCAGGAAAAAAAAAAGGTGCAATATCATGGTTACCTGCGTCAGCTGGTCACTTGTAGTGAGAGGCTCTTGAAGGAGTCGCAGAGTTTTGCTAATGATGCGCGGCTGTTTAAGAGCCGGGCGGTTTTTCTGGCAATCACTCTTTGTGTGCCATCTTTTATAAAGGTGCTTCTTGTTGCTAAGAGATCAGTTGCTTAGAGACCAAATCATTAAAATATATATATATATATGTATGTCAGGGGCCAACATAAATTATAACCAAATTTTATCATCTCAGCTCGCCCTCTGAATGCTCGTCTGCTGCGGTGGATCACCGCGTACCAGAAGAACCCAATTACTAATCACAAAGAGAAAAACGGACCATGAGGAGGAGAAAAGATCTATTCGTACACTCCTGTGGACAGACAGTAACGCCACAGGCTCCCCGGGAGGGGTCACAGCGCCACCAGGCTCTCTGGAAAGTTGGGGACTCCTTGCGGGGGACTCCCGCGTGTGCCCCCACACCAGAACATATCCACCCACCCCCCCCACCCCCCACCCACCCCCACCCCCCATAAACTTGAATGCAATTTTGGAGGATGGAAGCATGGGGACGGTGGCATGACTTTAGTCTTTTCTGAGGGAAAAGGCTGCACAGGAAAATGTGAGCAGAAAATCTGTGCCGTGATCTCAGCTGCCAGCCAGACTTTTTTCATGCACGAGCAGTTATCACTGATCCAGGTCCAGGGTTGTGTGTGTGTGTGTGTGGGTGTGTGTGCTGGGGGGCCGGGGGTGTCTGGCTCTCAAGGACTGTGCTCTTCACTCTTCTCCAGAGTGCTCACACGCAAGGACTGGGGCCAGCAAGGAGAGGAAGAGAAAAAGGACAATTTGGGTAATTAGGAGAGATTTGCCTGTAGCATCATTTTGGTCTTTTTGGTTCCCCTGTTGTGGAGACCTTACAACTGAAGATCCACGCCCTGTCTCATTCCCCCCCCCCCCCTTTGCCATTTAGTCATTGATTTTGGTGTGTGGAAGACTCTTAAAAGAGGCAAAGGAGCATCGGTGTTTCCAGCTTTAACCAGATCGGAAGATGACCGAGGACACAATCATGCTAGATCGACCCCACACCCCTCCTGTCCCCCTGGGTACCCTCCATCTCTCCTTTTTTGCAGTGTCTCTGGTCTTAGCTTGGCTGAGAAACAGGCAAGCAAGTTAGAGCTCAAAGACGTAAAGTTTCAAATGAAGCAGAGAGGTCAAAACAGAGAACACCACAGCTCTCCCCCAGTCCCACCCCATTCCCACTAGACTCTAAAGTGCTACTGTTATCATAGCTGCCTTCTTGCCTGAGCTTGGTGGGGGGTGAGGGTAGGGGGTGGGGAGCGCCTCCTGGGATAGACCCCCTGTGTGGAGTGAGAAGGCTGGAGAGGTGCTGCCTTGGGACTCTAGAGGGGAGGAGAGAGAAATCCCTTCCCTTCTTTGCTCACTGCCTGGTTGACATGGTCCCAGCGCCATTCATTTTACAAAGTAGGTGAAAGCCCCACAAGCCAATCCTTTTGATTTTGTTTCTCCTGAGAGCTGTCTGCCAGGAAAATGCACTCGCAGCCTGCACAAACAGGAGGGAGCTTCGTTAAAAACTCAGCAGTTTAATTACTTGCATAATAAAGTGAAATTACAAATGAAAGTATACTTCACTTGCAATGAATGGCAAATTCATTGCACAAAGATATGAGGGGGTGACTTTGCCCACCCTAGCTACAACTGACATGAACATTGGAAGTGTCCGAAAAGGCTATCTGAGTGTCACAGAAGAAATTCGGGGTGACCCACCCAGCCTGATTCTTCCCTTAATCCTGCTTCAAACATCCCCAACTCCAAATTTCTCTGTTGATTTCTTTAGTTTGGTTTTGTCTTGAGAGTGAGAGAATTGGCAACAGAAAGGGAAGGAATCTAACAGAGAGGAACTAGAGAAATAAAAAGCAAGAGAAGCAAGCAATTCTGAGTCCATGGTCAGTACCTAATGCTAGTTGAAGAAGTGGGGCAAAGTCAGGAACTCAAATGTATGTTCCTGGAGGCAAAAGCCCCCTCATACTTTTCCTTTCTTCCCTCTCAACAACTATGCATGGGGATTTGGGGCTGAAAGTGCTGCTACATGTTTTTGTTAAAATTCTAAGTCAGAGGAGGGAAATACTGGAACAAGCTGATGTAAGGGGCATGTGAGAAATTGTCCCCCTCACAAAACTCTGGTCCCCTGGTGAACAAAAGTCAGTCTGAAGGGCAGGCAAACGTGTGCCCAGTGAGAATACATTAAGACAGTTTAGGCTCTTTTTGGGTACAGGAGGCAGTGAAGGTGTGAGCAGGTCAGAATAGAATAGGAAGCTGTCATGACTTCATGACTTTATGCTTGATGCTTTAAGGGTGCCTGCGGCTGGCTCTGGGAAATGTTCCAGCCTCTGCTCTTATGTACCTGTGAAATGTTGATGTGTCTACTCAACAGAACTGTCCACTTCAACAATAGCTCACATGTTGGGGAGCCAGGGTGGGGAGTGGTATTCCGTTAAATAAATGGCCAGCCCGTAAGCCCACTCAGGGTTACACGGGGGAACCATATACGGCTATGACAGTCCTTGTGTATTTGTGTCACTCTCTGTGATCAGGATCAGTTGGGACGGTTAGAACTTGTTTGTAGCAGTGGGGCTGGGGAGCGAGCCTGCTCTGCTAACCTGCTTCTGAGAGCAAAGCCATTCGGTCCTGTGCCTATGTCCTGTGTCCCTATGTCCTGTGTCCCTATGTCCCGTGTCCCAGTTCCTCTGCCTCCCATCTGGTTCTTCCCTGCCGTGTGGTCATGGGCTTGGGGGGTGGGAGGGAGACTCCGTCTCTAGCACCACCTCGGCCATTCAGTCACCTCATGCCTCTGAGGTGAAGGGACTTGGACCTGTCCCAGACCAACTCCAGACCTTCACCTGCATTAGCTTTCCATCAAAGGACCCCAGCTTGCAGCCTCCCTGTGAGGTTCCAGAAAACAGGTGGGGTGTTGAGGGGTGGGAGGCTGAGGGTTCTCTGCCTGCAGATGTCCATCCTTGAAGATGTTAAAGAAATGTTCGCCATGGATAGAACTGTTGGCATCAAAGAGATGCGCCTAGTATCACATGGGGCCCTGCCCTGTGTCAGACCCTCGGCCACCATCACTGAGGGCCACCATCACTGAGGGCCACCATCACAGAGCCCCGACTCCCCACCTCAGGAACCTGCTCTCTCAGGACCACACAAGCTCCAACTCTCAATGCTAAGAACAGGAAGAGCAGCTGGGCACACACCCCGCGTACCCCTGACTCCCAGAGCTGCACAGGGCATTCAGACCCAAGACTTCTCTGTAGCAGCAGGGGTCTCCTGGTGGGGAGGCCAGCACCCCTGATGCCACTCCGCATGGGCACCCTAAAATCCTCTTTCTATTTCTTGCTAGCCTGCTGGCCCCCCAGCTGCCAGTTAACTCCCCTGGCGGTCCCTCTTCTGCTCAAGAACCCAAGACATTTCTAGAAAGGCTCACACAGGCTTCCCAGGAGCTCAGAGGTGACAGCAGGGCACCCGCCTTGGCTGGGCCAGTTCCAGGATAGGCACCCGCCCTCTCTATGCCTACTTCTCCAGGCAGTTGTTCCCAGAGAAGGTGGGCAGCAGCCCCTCCCCCCCTGCCCTGCCCTGCCTTGGGAGAAAGGAAGCTATCTTCTCTCAAATGCCAGGCCCTCCAGAAAACAGGACCTGTGTGCACCTTAGTCAGTTACTACAAAGCTCCGTTGGGACCAAACAAGGTTGCTTTCCCCCCAAACTGGTAGCCCAGGCAAAGAGTTACTTCTGGAGGTGCCAGATGCAAGGGAGCAACAAAGGAGGATGTGGTTGGGGTGAGGAAGGGGTGGGGGACGGGGTCAGCCCCAACTCCCAGAGCCACCTTAAACTGAAATCATGGGCAGCTTGAGGAGGAGGTTCGAGCTAAGTAGGGCAGAGGACCTCCTGGCTGCAGGAAGTGCAGCCTCGTTGCTGCTCTCCTGGGGTCTCTCTAGACGGGAAGCTGGTGGCGACCATGCCCCTGGGACCAGAGCCGATGCAGAGCGGACCACAGGACCTAAGGACACGTGACTCAGTGACCCTTTGCTGATCCCACTTTCTTCTCCTGGACTTGGGTCACCCTTTCGAAGATAAGGTCAGGCCACTACTACATACCATGCTCTCCTCTGCACACAACACAGCCCCCCTTCATCCAAAGAGGGAATAATAAGCCTCTCCAAACCTAGGCTCCCCTGTCCAGGGCATTCCAGCTCTGTAGGCCTGCCTGTGTATATATACACGCGCGCACACACACACACACACACACATGTCCACATGCATATGTGTCTGTGCATGTGTCCACGCATAAGCCCTGCAGGTCCTACATTTTGAACCTGAAACCACAGGCCAAACCTGGCCCAGTACTGAGACCCTTCTGATATCCTTCCTGTGACCAGGCCTCCTCCAGCCCCCACCCACAGACAGGTGGGAGAGGCCGCCCCCGACTGCTGTCTTTCTTCTCCTGCTCATCCTCCACCCTGGCTTTCACCCACACCAAGCACTCGTGGAAACCACACTCTGGCCTGCCTTGGGGAGCAGGGAGTCGCTACGCTATAGCCACCTCCCACCCCGCTGCCCTCTAGGAGGGCCCCAATATCACGTCTTGCTCTGCTGTGTGGACTGCCCCAATACCACGTGTGGCCAAACTGAGTGAGCTGTTCCCAGACCTTCAAGGCACTGAGCTGTGGACAGACAATTGCACGCTAATTAACCAAACAGCAAGATCTCAGCCTGATGGGTTCCACCACCCAGTCCAACTTCCCCGCTTTTCTTGGAGAAAAAACCATGATGTCCTCCTTTACTGGACTCTCTGACGCTGGTTGACCCTCCTCACAGCTGGGGATTTACCCCAAGCCAGTGCCTCTGATCTTCAGGTATCAATCGTGCCCATCCATTCAGTAACTTTCGCTCAGAGATGACTGGAGTGGGAGACACCAACATGATGTGTGTGTGGGGGAGGGGCGGGGAGATGCTGTGGGGGCGATGGGACTTGGGAACAAACAAAAGCCAAGCATCTCCTCCCTCTTGAGATTTTCACGGGCCCCCGGAAATGGAGGTTATTCACTGATGTGGCCAGGAGGAGCACATTCATTCTGCCATCAACTAACTCGAGGACACTTTACTCCTCAGGGAAAGTGGGGGGGGGGGGGGGGCAGGGCGGAGGGTATTACACCCAGAATCAATCA